ATGGGACGGGTATACCTAAACCTAAACCCAACCCGTGAACGGTGTAGCGGGTTTAAACTCAAACCCGATCTATCAACACGAGTTGGGTCAAATAGGATACTCGTGAGTTCGGGTTTTGTTGCCATCGCCATTCACGGCACGAGTCACCCCTTCAGCGGAGTTTGCCTCGACCTTTATTGCAATATTTTCACAGTGGAAGCTTGGCAGTTGGCACTGGATTACTTCAATTCCAATGCATCGCCTACCTATTACAGATGCTCTTGTATGGCTTTATGAGGCAAAAATAGGTTATCACTTAGGCATTTTGATTATCTTTTTCTTCTCTTTCTTTTTTCCAGTAATTATCTCGGTTTTACCTTTCTCAATATTGTGTTGACAATGTTTGCATCAGATTCTTTCTATCCGTGAGGTTTTTACGGTGGACAGGTTTAGACATGATTCAATATTTTTTGTGACAAACGTGCAAAACATTGGTTCAAAATAATCAATTTACCAGCAGTATAGTATCAACGACTCCGTGGCCCAATGGATAAGGTGCTGGTCTACGTGTAACCAGAGATTTTGGGTTCGATCCCCAGCGGAGTCGATTACTTATCTTTTTTTCAAACTTTTGCAGAGTGCTCCCTTATGCTGCTCTCCAGATTTATTACAGAGATGCACAATTGGGTGTTACATGTAACCCCCCACCCCATTTCTATTTCACATTCATTCTCACATTCATGTATATTGATTGTAAGAATGTAGAGGTTATGTGATGTGTGCCTATAAATAGATGATCTCCTTGTACTAAGGAATACATGAATAAGAAAGCTCTATTCCCCCACTCTTCTTGTGTCTCTACTCTTACTCTTATGTCTATTGCTCTTCCTTGCTATTTTACAACATTCTTGTCTTTTTTTCCAGTAATTATCTCGGTTTTACCTTTCTCAATATTGTGTTGACAATCTTTGCATCAGATTCTTTCTATCCGTGAGGTTTTTACGGTGGACAGGTTTAGACATGATCCAATATTTTTTTGTGACAAACATGCAAAACATTTGTTCAAAGCAATCAATTTACCAGCAGTACAATATCAACGACTCCGTGGCCCAATGGATAAGGCGCTGGTCTACGAAACCAGAGATTCTGGGTTCGATCCCCAGCGGAGTCGTTTACTTACCTTTTTTTAAACTTTTGCAGAGTGCTCCCTTATGCTGCTCGATCTCCAGATTTATTACAGAGACCCTTGAAAGTTAAACACCTCATTCTATAAAGCTTCATTAATTTCCTTACTCCTGCAAAGCCGCTGGAAAATCCATTCTCCACCACCACAAATCACAATCAAAACACCTCATTCTATAAAGCTTCATTAATTTCCTTACTCCTGCAAAGCCGCTGGAAAATCCATTCTCCACCACCACAAATCACAATCAAACCTCTGTCTGCTTCTGCAGCAGCAAAGCCAACAATGCAATTTTACGAGGATCAACAATTCGCTTGCACGGATGGCTGCAACAGAAGCTGGAAAGGGGAAAGAGGTCTCTGGGCTACAAGGAAAGCAAACTGAGAGAAGACATGAAACAAGAAGGAAATAGGTCTCTGCTCATCTCTGGTCTTCAAGCAAAGACCACCATAAAAGGGTTAGCTGAAAACCCAGGTTGAAAACTGTAGCTGATTTCTTTCTTTCTTTGTGGTGCTTGACAAAATGGCCGGAGAAGCTCATAGACTGACATCCACCACGGACCAAAAAAAATCACGATTTTCCACGCTCTTCTTGCCAGGAATTGTCCGGGACTGCCGGCTGGTAAGTTTATTTTAGGCTCGTCATGTTCATGGATCATGGTCAATGATTGTGATCATCGTGATGATCATGAGAAGCCATTGATGACTGACTTGGGTTTCTCTGTCGCTGGTCTCTAGCAGCAGTTATAACCAGATCAGGGCGAGTGATTGTGTATAGAGTAGACTGCAGAGTGTCTTTCTGATACAGTTTTTGGGAGTGGAGACACGAGATTGCTGCTGGCTGTGCTGGTGTATTATGTGGAGTGAGGAGAGTCACTAATTCGCATGTTTTAACAATTAAGAGGCTGGGGAATGGCGATATTGCCATATTGGTGCTTGTATTCAATCGGAACGCGCATGAGTATTCAACTTGACCCAGTTTGATTAAGGGTTGGTTTGGAAGTTGCGATTGTTAAATAGATGTATTGTTGGGAATGCATGTATAATATTATACATGTATTGTCGAATTTGATGCATTGTAGAATACAACGTTTGGTATGTGTGATTGTGTATGTCGCATCAGCTAAAAGCTGAGACAAAACAATCTCAACTCAACTATCTCAACAATCACAACTAAAAGTTGAGATATAACAATCACTCAAAATGTGTGATAGTTTCTGTCACATCACAGAAACAATCCATGTATTGTTTCTGCTAAAAAAAAACGATGCATTGTAAACAATACATGCATAATGACAATCTCAACAAAACTATCGCAACTTCCAAACGACCCCTAAAGTTTGGTAAAAATCTAGCGTTGATTGGTTTTGGGTCGGTTGTGGGTTTTACTTGTTTTGAAATTAATGATTTGAATCAGGTTTGGGTTAAAAGCGGGTAATATCTGCACCTCAAACTTACTTAACCCACTTTCCACTTGACTCGTACTAATAAAGCCAAGCGACGTCATTTTGCATCTAATATGAACAAAATGAATAATTTGTCGTTGTTTTGTACTTCTTAGTCTTCATTACAATATAAACCTAATAATATGAATAATTGATAAAGATATATTTGCAGGAAAATTTTTGATAACGTTATGATATGGGGTGTTCGAATAAATAAGGTATGGTTATATTCATAAACACATGGGTACCTGTTGGGTTGAGTTTTCACTTCTAAAATCCAGTGGGTATTTTACCATTTTTTTTACAATAAATGCATAGTTGAATTGAGTTTCGGTTTTGAGAAACGACCCAACTCGATCCATTGTCATTCCTAGAGATGATTCCATCCCTTATCTACCGTCGAAAATTTTCAATTTCAAGTCGATTGGTCAAGTTCTTTTTTCTTGGTTTAATGTGTCTTTTGTTATGTAACTTTATCAAATATGTTTATTTATTATTTTATATAAAACATAACCATGCATTTTATAAACGTTATGTTAAAATTTTCATCTAAAAAGCGTCAACCACGGTTGAATCGCGATTCAGACGACTCTGCCTCGACAAAATGAAGATGAAATGTCATTTTTGTCCCACCATTTATTTATCTTAGTCTCGTTAGAATAAAATTATTAAGGGTATTAGACTATACAAAATAAACAAAAGAAAAATTAGGCAAATTATTAGGCATGTTGTATATAATTGGACCATGGTTAACAGTTTTTTTGACAGAAACTTTAACAAAGAGGTGTGTGGTGACGTTTCTAAACTTCAATAATATTTTTAATAGAAAAATAGTAGATATATCATATATACCACCATTCACAAAAAGGCATAATAGAGGGACATGTTATAGCGTATAACCCATTTGACTTGAGTTCCCGTCGGGTTTAGCTTGAGTCCATGGTTGTTATTCCAGTGACATGTCGACCGGTACAACCGATGTCGATTACAAATTTGATTGGAATTCCTCCAATATGATTGACATTATTGATTTTAGATGTTTAGACAAAATGATATAGTTTTGGTGAGTTTAATGAATAATTTTTTTAGTCGTTTCTCAAATTTGAAAGTAATATTGATGTTATTTGTTGGATTCAAGTATTATAAACTTATTTAGTTTAAATAAACTTAAATTTGAAAGTAATATTGGCGTTAATGTCATATTTAAATATTATAATTTTCATTTTGTATGAAATGTTGTATTTTATTTATATATATATATAGATGTAGATTTTAGAGATATTGTCTTCAAATATGTTATATAAATGTTTATGCCCTGTAACCCCCTTCTTACGCCTCGTGCTCCTGTCTCTCTCGTCCGCTTGCACAGCCGTCCTCCTGCACCCACACAAGCGCCTAGCGGACCGAGTTGGTCCGTTAGCACTCCAACGCTCAAGTGAGAACCTACTTTATAGAGAGAGAAGTGAAGGAACAGTTCTAGTAAGAGAAGCAAAACTAAGTAAATGAGGTTTACCTACTCGACTATTTATACCCGGGGCGAGATAGACCGGTACACGTCGCTCTCGCCCTGTGTCAGACCCGCCATAAATGCGCTGTACACCCCTAGCCCATGCGCCTCGACCATCTGACACTTCGGTCAGAGGTTGGAGGCGCATGACATCACCTGATCAGCTTTTCGTACACTTCCGACCGTTGGCTGCCTTTGTCTCATATGCCCTCCGCCAGGTGCCCGGTCCCACCTGTCCCACACGCTATCTCAGCCACCCAGGCCTAAGCCCGGACACCCTTCAGCCCAAGGTTCCTGCCCCCATGGGCTTTCTCAGTCCTCTCGGTTGGGCCCGGGCCTCCGGTCCATAATAACCTGTTTTGGTCTTTTCCCTCCTGGGCCGGCCCATGCTCATTCCCCAACAATTGCCCCCCCAGTTAGGCGCCTAACGCCCGAAGTTAGGGGCCTGACTGTGTTTTTTCTCCGCGCCCCCTCCCAATGGCTCTCTTGAGGTGCATGCGCCTCGCCTCTCTTGAGGTTCGCGCGTTTCCTTCTTCGCTATGCGTTCTTTCTTCGTACGATTTGCTCTCTGCTTCTTCCTTGTATTTCTCTTTTCTTATCCATGCTCTTTTCCCCCACTCGCCTGTACACACGTAAGTACGTGTTTTTTTTATCCATGCTTTTCCCCCCTTTCCGCCTCTTTTTCTGTGCCCTGGTGCCCCTTGCGATTCCTCTCTCTTCCCTCCCCCCGATCCGCTCGTGATTCGAAATTCAAATTTCAAAATCGAGAGCGGATTGGGGAAGTCTCTTCGCCTCCCCTTTCTCTCTCTCCTTCGCTCGCCCAGTTCTTCCTATAAATTCCCTTCCTCCCCCCTTAACAGTCCTCACAACTTGCAAACTTCATCTCTCTACTTCCTCTCTCTAGCTACAAACTCTCTCAATTGCCCCCGACTTGCTCTTCCACACACGCTCTCGTTTGCTATGGCATCCTCCCGGCAAATACCGCTCAGCACTCCCGCGCCTTCCGCCGAGACGGCCGCCCCCCGCCGCGGGTCCACTCCATCTTCCACAGAAGCGCCTCCCACCTCCTCTGCGCCTTCCAGATCCCAGGCGCCTGCCAATGGCGAGGCCTCAAATGCCCCTGCCGCCCCTGCTGCACCGAGTAAGTCTAATCCTATGCGCCTTACCTTTTGTCGTTGAACCATTTTCTCCCGTCCCCTTCAACACTTCTCTCAACGTTTATCATAGGGTTCAAGCGCCCCTACGCACTTTGTTTTCACTGACCCTTTTTTTTTTAAGCGCCACGCCGCCTTCGCCCTCCGTTGCCTTACCCCTTGCCCCTTCCTTTGACTCAAGCGCTTCCGTGTCCCAAGACTACATGTTTCGGCCATGGGACTCGATGTGGCCTCCTGGCTATGCGCCTCAAAATACTTCGATGTTGCCCCTAGAAGATGTAGGCCCGCACCACGCCTCGAAACAATTAGAGGCGCGCCTAGAAAAACTGGTCGTGTGCGCCCAATTACCTGCGCCCTGGAGGTACATCCACGCGCCCCCCCAGGCTCGGATTGGGTTGTGCGGCGAGGGGTGGTTGGGTTTGTACCAAGAGTTCATCCGGTTCGGCCTACGCTTCCCCATCGAGCCTGTCCTTGAGGGCGTCATGGTTACCTGCGCGTGTCCCCTCGCACGCCTTTCTCTCTTCGTTATTCTGACTACCATTGTTTTTCGCTATCAGTGTCGGAGACATCACGTGCCCCCCACCTTTAAACTTTTTAAACATTTCTTCAAAATGACAAAAAGTGACAACTTCCTGATCTTACAAAGGCGTAAAGCATTAGGGTACGGGTTCATCAGTAGTTGCCGGAAGATGGGGCGCTCGTGGTTGGACTCGTATTTCTTCGTCAAACCACGTGAAGTGCCCTTCTTTGAGAGTGGGCGCCCTGTGAGTTCAGAGTGGTCTTTGGAGAACCACTTCGCTTTTAACAAAGTGGAGCCTCTAAGTCAGACTGAGAAGGACATGGCGAAGAGTATATCGGCCCACCCTATCGACCTCGATGCTGGGGATGAGTATGCCCGTGTTCTCGCCGATTTCTACGGAGATGGTACTAATTATGCGCCTTTTCATTGCCCACACGCTTTTACCAATGTTGTGATTTATTGCTCTAACTCGCTTTTGTTTCTTTGCCTGGTACAGGGACTGACTTCACCTCGGTGACAAACCTGATAAGGTCGAAGCTCGACCTTCTCCGCAATGCGAACATCGGCCAAGCCGCTCCAACCAATCAAGCGCCTCGTCCGGCTAGGGCGCAGCCCACAAGGTTAAGGGTGAAAAGGGCCGCGGCTGCGAGTGCTTCTTCAAGGGGGCGGGACGCCTCGCCTCAACCGGCCGCCCCAAAAGGTGACGCGGCCGTTCGTGACTCACCGGCTTCAGAGCATCAAGCCTCTTCTGCCTCGGCTCCGTCCTCCCACTCCACGCCCCGGGAGACCGGCGGGGTGAGCACTCCTCCGTCTCCTTCCTCCGCTGCCTCTCGCAAAAGAGCTGGCGGCGCCTTACAAGGTCCGGGAAAAAAGAACAAGTCCGCCACTGTGCGCGAGCCCGGGCTGCCCCGTAGCTTTGTGGAGCCCATGATTGGGCCGCACACTGGAGAGGTGATTCCTCCATACCTCCAGTCCAGGCGCCCTCTAGTCAAGGTAGCCAGTGGACGTCCCCGTCCGGGCGGCAAAAGACATCTTGGCGTCTGTGGCGATGGCAAGGGCGCACTACAACGTGGTAGAGCACCCGGATGGCCTGATTTCAGATAAGCCCTGGACGAAGTTGACGAACATGAGCGTCAAGGTAATGAAGCGCCTATTACTTTCCTTCACCCCTTTATCAATTGATTATTTGGTACTAATCGTTTTCTACTTTGTGTCTACGCGCCTCAGATGATGCTCCTCTGCGAGGCTACCACGCGTGAAATTGATTCGATTTCGCGAGAAGGCACGGACGCCGCCATATCTGTTGAGCGCCTGCGGGCGGACTTGGATGCTTCCAAGTTCGATTTGGAGGCGAAGCTGGCGACCGAGCGCCTCAAGGCTCGAGCCGAGTTGGAGGGAGAGATCAAGGCGCAGGCCGAGGCAGACAAGGCCGAGTGGGAGAAGGTGACCAAGGAGCTCCGAGAGAGGGGTGCCGCGCTCGTGCGGGAGCGGGACGCGTTACTGGAGGAGAAGAGCGTGCTGCGCCAGGCTGTTGACGATCTGGAGGAGGCGTATAAAAAGACCAAGAAGTCCCGGGCGCATTACAAGCGTAAGCTGAAGAAGTCTCAGGCCGAGATGGAGCGCCTGAATCAGGACTTGGCCAACTACCCCGAATCAGATGCGGACAAAGATCTCCAAGCTAACGTCGTGATTAGCACCGTGGAGATAATCAAGGCTAAGCTCCAGGCCGACCATCCAGAAGTGGCCTTTGATGCTATTGCTCTCATTGAGCATGTTGTGAAGGCCATGGACAGCCAGTCGGGCGCCTCAGGTGCTGGAGGTGTTCCACCCTCGGATGGTGACGCGCCTAGCGGTGGGGGAGGCGGTGTGGCTGCGGAGGTGGAGGCGGATGAGGAGGAGGTTGACGAGGAGATCAGCGTCGAGTAGTTTTTTTTTACCCTTTTGAACAAGAAGTTTGTTTTCTATGCTTGCTTTTCCCCTTCTGAACTAGAAGTTTGATTATTACCTACCTTTGCTGGGGCGCTTGGTTTGATGGTTTTATTTCATGCGGGCCCGGGTGACTAAGGGCGCATAAGCTCTGCCTTGACGTTTTGCTTCTGACGTTACACAAGGCGCATTACGTAGGGCGCGATTAGTTGTTTCTGCTTACATGCATAGGGCGCGAATGCGAGGGCGCATTACACCTGTCTTTGCATTTTACAAACCTGACGTCATACAAGGAGCGTTATGTAGGGCGCATTAGTTGTTACTTCTTACGTGCACGGGGCACGATTGCAGGGGCGCTTTTGAACGTGCTACTGACAAGCATAGGGCGCAATTTAAAGGGCGCTTTTGGAATTACTTGAACTAAAACCACAAGGCGCGAATTGAAAGGCGCTTTTGTAGATACTACCAACAAACATAGGGCGCGATTTGAAAGGCGCTTTGGACTTTACGACAAAAACTACTCACAAACTTAGGGCGCAATTGGAAGGGCGCTTTTGGAATTACTTAGATAAACTACGGGCGCAATTGGATTAGGGCGCTTTACACGCTCAACCCATCTGGCTGCCTCCTACGCAAAATCTGCCCCCTCCTTCCCCGCCTTGCTACTCGGCCTTACCCCACTATCTCTTCCTCTTCCTTGCTGTGATAAACACGAAGGTTCTGTGCATTCCACGTACGTTTGATGCTCTTTCCACTCATGCGCTCCAGCTTGAACGTTGCCGGTCCCACTACCTCGCGAACCCGATAAGGCCCCTTCCACTTTGGCTCAAGCTTTCCCTCACTGGCTTTGGGCCTGAAATCCCTCTTCAACACCATGCTCCCACGCCGTATCTGGTGAGGGTTCATCTTCTTGTTATAATACCTCGCCACTTGCTGCTTCATAGCTTCCAGGCGGAGAGAAGCGACATCACGTCGCTCCTCTAGCATGTTCAGGTCGTGCACGCGCTCTCCCTTGTTGGCCTGCTCATCATAGCTTACCATCCTGAAAGTTGGTATGCGCAGCTCCTCCGGGATGACTGCCTCGCTCCTATACGTGAGTGCAAATGGGGATTCCCCTGTTGCCACTTTGTATGTTGTCCGATGTGCCCAGAGTACACTCGGGAGCTCCTCAACCCATCTGCCTTTTGCCTCCAGCTCCAGAAGTCTCGTATGCAGCCCATGTAGTATGCTTTTGTTAGCAGCCTCCGCCTGCCCATTCGCCTGAGGATATGCCACCAACGAGAAGCGCAGGACCACCCCCTTCTCATCACAGAAGTCCACAAACTGCTTGCAATCAAATTGCTTCCCATGATCGGTTACTATGGCCTCCGGCAGCCCAAATCGCGTGAAGATATTCCTGTTTGTGAACTTACGAACCTGGGCCTGTGTAATGGACGCCAGAGGCTCAGCTTCGATCCATTTGGAGAAGTAGTCAACCGCCACTATCAAGTATTTCATCTGCCCGGGCGCCTTGGGGAATTGTCCCAGCAAGTCCATGCCCCATTGGGAGAATGGCCAGACGCCCACGTTTCCACGCATGGGCGCAGCCGGAACGTGAATGTCGTTGGCATGTATCTGACATTGATGGCAGCTGGCCACGTGCTTTGTCGCGTCCGCCCTGATGGTTGGCCAGTAATACCCCTGCCTTAATAGTACCTTCTCGAGGCTGCGCGCTCCCGCATGCATGCCACACGCCCCTTGATGGACTTCTTCAATTGCCTGCTTCCCTTCCGCCTCAGTGAGGCACCTTAGGTAGACGCCGGAGTGTGACCGCTTGTACATCTGACCATCAATAAGCGTGCAACGCGCGGCCTTGCGCCGCACCTGCCACGCGTGTCTATCGTTTTCCGGAAGGGTCCCTTGTACCAAGTATGCTCTGATGGGCGACATCCAGCTCTCACTCCCTTCGGACTCGGTGATTGCTCCTATGACAGATTCACGCACCGAATGTTCCTTGGTGACGATGACTTGTCTATCCGCCTCGAAGTCGATCGCGGTGGCGAGTTTGGATAGAGCGTTCGCGTGGGCGTTCTCCTCCCTTGGTACATGTATGAATTCCACTTCCTTAAACCACACACCCTTAGGCTTCACCGTAGCAACGTAGGTGTTCAGGGCCTCTTCCTTAACCTCGTACACTCCGTTCAACTGATTCACCACTAACGCAGAGTCCGAGCGGAGCTGAACTTTCTGAGCGCCGAGCTCCCGAACCGTGTGGAGCCCGGCGATCACCGCCTCGTATTCCACCGCGTTGTTGGTCTTCAGGGTTGAAAAATGAAGGGCCAACTCGTGCATCACCCCCAAGGGGCTCACAACCACCACTCCAGCTCCGGCGCCCGACCTGCTCGCCACGCCATCCACATAGACCTGCGAGATCTCCTCCGCGTTATCTCCTGCGCTTACCACTCCTTCAGCCACAAACTCAGCCAACACTTGCGCCTTTATCGCAGGGCGAGACGCATAGCTTATATTATATTTGCTCAATTGCACCGCCCACTTGACCATGCGCCAGGCCACATCCATGGATCCCAGCGTCCTCCTCAGCGGA